TTCCAGGATTTTGGGAACACACGCATATATGCCCAACATGTTTTCAAGTCAGCAGGTCCAAGACTCAAACCACACAGGCTGGCCATATAGTATCCTGCTATGTTAACCACAGGCCATGGAGCTTGCCCTCAAGAGTTCCTTTTTAAAAGTCTGAATAGTATCCCATTGCATGCACAAACCATATACCATATTGTTTTTTTCTATCCACCCACTGATGGACACTTAGGCTGCTCCCATTTCTTTACTATTATGTATAGTGCTGCAATGAACATGGGAGAGCTAATACTTTTTGAGATCCTTATTTCATATCTTTTGGATACATCCTTAAGTGGAATGGCTAACTCATATGGTAGCTCTCTTTTTAATGTTTTGAGGAATAAAGATAAGATTTTTTTAAACTATACTTCCATTTTCTCATCTCAAAGACAGCTGACCCTTGTATAGCATGTACCATCTTAAAATGGAATCAGCTCACTCCTGTCAGGTTTGTAAGGCCTTTTTTTTCTCAGCTAAATAAGCAACATAAACAAGGACAGGACAACAGGGATACTGCTTCAGCAAAATACAGCATGTGGCCAGGCAAGAGGCCAATGCTAATCACAGCGTCCAGCACCTGCATACCCTCAGCTGGGGGGCTCAGGCCTCAAAGAGAAATTCATAGAGGGGCTGTCAACACCTTGCCGTGTGCCTTGGGACAAGGCTATCGAGAAACTTGCCTAAATGTTTCCCACATGCATGAGGCCTGTTTCTCACCATTTACATAGTTTTCTGATAGTGTAGTCTCAAACTGAAGCACAAAAGAATCCTTCAAAACCTGGGGTAGGACATGGGCTGAAATTTGAACACCTCTCAGAGTTGAAAGGAGGCACCTGTGTGATGCTTAGAGTCACATGCAAAGAGGAAGTACTCCTGTCAAACAAAGACTATCTTCAGGATTGGCTTCCTAACAGGCAACCTGTGCAGTTGCTTAGGGCCACACACTCAGAAGAAGCCCCTGCTTCGCCCAGTGTTCTGCTTCGCCCTTCTGAAATTATGAATAACTTTTTTCACAAGGAAGAGTGCACACATTTTCATTTTTCATGGAGCCCCATATATGTAGCCTGTCCCACCTTCCCCACCAAAGGAGGAATGGGGAGTATAATAATGACCTATAGTTCTACAGCAACACTTGAAATGGAAGAGTAGGATATAGAACAGGGAAAAGTGGGAGTACATTTGCACATTTTGTAAGGAAACCTGGCATTGTTTGCTAAGTAGGGAGTCTAGAGTTTTCATTTCCAAAGCTATTCTGAAGTTTGAGACTCTGGAATACCGACTCTATTTCATTGCTTGTGGATATTACAAGCCTTTTTTGTCCTTTAGTCTGGAAGTACCACTCCAAAGACAAATAATTAGAACCATATAAAAATGTACTATAGAGTGGTCAAAACAGCAGTGCCGAACTACTTTCTCTGTATGGATATTTATCCACATCCCAAATGGTGAGAGATTGGTTTCCTATCTTTTGTCTTTTTTATACCCTGGACCTACTGTTCAGTTCCCTCTTAACCACAGCTTGTGGTGATGTTCTTTCAGATATCCTTTTGTATCACCAGTACATTGATTTCCATCATAACTGGGTATATAATTTGCAGAGCCCAGTGCAAAATGAAAACATGGGCTCCTTGTTCAAAATTTAATGAGAAATTGAAGGAAGCAACAGCAAGAGCATTGAATCAAGTTTGGGGTGATTCTAAGTATGGGACCTACCTATGTGACTGCACATGTTGTAAAGCTGGCCCTGATTCTCCTTGGCCAGAATTAGGTTAGGTGCCCATTACTTGATCAATCATTGTTAAGTGGGTGCACTGGCTTAGCCTTATACTAAAAACAGCTTTCTTAGAGTTAAGGATAAGTTCATCTTCCCCTGAGCAAGCATGGTATCTGGTGACAAGGATTGTGAGTAAAACCAGACTCCTTTTGATTAGGTGTGAGGAAAGCATGGTAAACTAACAACAGTGCCCACAACTCTGAATATCCTTGACTCAGAAGGAGGAGGTCTTCAGGAAAAACTCCCCTTGTTGCAAGCTGTGGGTCCTTACAGCCTTGAAATGTTATTCAAGTCCTACCTATTCAAATACGCCTGCTCTTTTCTCTCACACACTCCAAGTCTCCTTCCCACCACAACTCCTGAAGGGATATTCAAAGATGAAAAGATACGATTCCCATTCTCTGCTTATCATTTTTAGTAAGGAACCAGGAATAACAGATATTGCAATGCACCAAAAGTCAAATAATAGAAACATTGAAAATAAAAATCCCAAATGCACTTATTAGTTCTGAGAGGTTATAGAATGGTTAGATTGATGAGCCAGTAGGATATTCACTAAGAGTTTAGAAGGAAGTGCATTTTTCAGTGTTAGGTGGTATGAAATGTAGAGATTCACAATTCACAGTGGTGAGATTCTCATACCACTCATAAAGCAAATTTAGAAAGCAGAGTGAATCCTATTGAAGAATTAAACAGATTTGCTTGACTAGAGTGACTGAACAAGTCACTTGGAACTATTAATAAAGGAAAACATCTGCAGTCAAAATCCTGACTAAAAATTAGATCTAGTACTAAAGGTAACAGTGGCATAAGTAAACAGGTACACAAAGTCTGACTTTTCATACATACGTAAAAATGGAGTTCTTTGCTTCTTTTATTCTTTTCATGGCATTTTTCACTCTTTCTTTAGCTAGCCCAAATCCTGTTTACCCTTTAAGACCAAGCTCAGGCTCTACCACTCCAAGAAGCCTCCCTCGAACCTTCCTTATCCTCCAGTATCTCTCACCCCCAACTGAAAGGGACTGCCCCTTTTCCATGGTGTACCTTCTGCTGGAATTATCTACTAGGTTGTCTCTTGCTCTTTAGGCTATAAACTTCTTGATGCTAGAAATGCTGCCATATTCCTCTTCTAACCTCTGTGCCTTAATAAGTTATCAAGATAAAATAAATAAGAACTTAAGAACTCAAAAGTGCTTATTGAAGAGCTTATGTGCAGAAGATATAGAGAAACAACTTTCAGTATTCTGTGTTAATAATGGCAAAAGTGCTCAAAGTAAAAGACAGTGACATGTATAAACATTGGGATACTTTTCAGACACTACGGATGACCTAAAAGGGGATATTGAATCACAGGTGGATGAAGAGGAGAGCTGTCAATGATCACTTCCAGATCCATTGCCTTGAGAGCTGGAATGACAGAATGTGAGACTCTCTTAACCTATCCTCAGGAGAAATGAGGCAGGGCAGTGGCAGAATTTTCTACTCAAGCAAGAAAGTCTCCAGTTTTCCTCTCTTTATCTATTTTAGTTCCTTTACCTTAGCCTTATCTCAGATACTTTACTTGCTGGTATTAGAATATTATTTCTCTGTTTTCTGAAAATCTTTGCCATTCATAGTTTATTCCACTTATGACATGAAGTCAACAGATGGTTTTTGGGTGCCTATGCCCTCCCCACGCCCCCCAGCCAGGCATTAATGAGATTAAGAAAAGAGAAGGGTAATTTGAGTTGCTGTATGGCATGATTTAAGATTATTTACAGCATCAGATGAATGGATAACATAACTCCAATCGCACCCATGTCTCCAAATTGCTACGGCGCAAGCAAAGGCAAAAGCAAACAGCTGGCTGGAATGTGGCTTCTTTAGTGGGGGTTTCGAATGTTTCTATAAGACAGTAGAAGAGCTGAGGGTTTCGCTGAGCTTAACACGTAATTCTCCCATTTGGTCTTTCTCTTCATGCGAACATTCATGTTAGTTTATGCTTGGTTCCTATGTTAGGTGTGTGTATGTGTACTTCTGTGTGTGAGAGGAATTGAACAGTGCAAAAGTCTCTGCATTACCTTACTTGGTTCAGTTGAATTTTCTTATTAAGAGGCTTTTCTCATTTACTCGTTGTTCCCTCTTGACAAACTTAAAACCACAAAATGACTGATGAATTCCACCATTTTTAGGATATAACTTACCCTTCGTTAAGACTGGACTACATAATCACAATTTGATTCATTCATTTTTTTTTTTCTTTTTTTTTTGGCAAATACTTAGTGATAGGAATGGAAAAAAGTACAAGTACTAGAAAAATATGAGGAAAAAAGATTCTACATCTAGAGCCTCTGAGTTATGTCATCAGGGTAAATTAAGATCGTCTTCTTAAAAACAATGCAGTAAGGCATTTAGGTAAGAACATAAGTGCAAATGACAATTTTATGTTTCTTTTTTTCTATAATTCTCTATATAATTTTAATTAGTTTTACTGACTAAAGTAAAAAAAATCAAGACATACTTTGAATTTCAGTGATCTTCTGTAAAGAAATAATGGCATTCATATTCGGGGTTTGGTGTTGAATATCTTCTGCAAGTGGCTCCAGCTGCAAGAAGAGTAGATAATAATATAGCACAATATTAGGACTTTATAGTATGTTGCACAGAAGCAAAGCAAATTGAAACAACATAATCATCAGCAAAAGCTTGCTCTAAGAACTAGTGAACATTTTGTTAGTATCAGTTCATAAAGTGTAGCCAGTTCTATTTTCTGTTTTGGATCCACATAATTGAATTCCAAGGGGCTTTTCCATTGGTCACAAGACTAATCTATGAACTCCCTGAAGCAGGTGCATGTCTGTGTATTATTCATTAAAAATCTGAGTTATTTCTGTAATTTTTGTAGGTTCCTGACAAACTAAATTCCATCATGTCTGTATATGCAGCTGGGTACTGCAAACAAAACCTCAGGGAAGTTGCAAGAGACAGAAATTGGGCAGTGTATTATCCTTCTTTTTGCAATGTTTTTACACGTAACCACCTTACACATTCAAACACTCCATGGTGCGAAGCCATGAGACACAGCTGCTCTTATTTAAGAGCCATTGAATAAAGTAGTAGAGAAATGTTCAAAAAAACTCAAAGGCAAAATACCCGTACAGTTTCATTTAGCTTCTACTTCCTTCATAACTAGGCAGATGTCAGCATGTAAGCATGGGATGAATTCCTATCTTGCAAATCCATCATAATCTTCAGGAATTATACTGATTTTTCATGGAGAAGCTTAGCAAACTGCTTTGCAAGAAGTGAAGAGAAGCTTTCAGTAATTTATGGAGTGCAATTGTCAGAACTAAGTCTGATGATGCATCCCTGGAAATGCCTGGGTGATGAGCTTGGCATATTGCAGCAGGAACTGCGTTAGCCAGGGCCTTTGCAAACAAAATAGTTATCCAGCTATTGTGACCCAGAAAGCAAGGAAAATAATAGTAAAAAAAACATGTAAAGGTTATAGTCTCAAATGAAAACTGGGGCAAACTGTAATATGGCATTAACAGGAACCAATGTCACTAGGTGTACCAAAGCACAGACTCATCTGTGTCTCTTCATCTGTAAGAAAAACTAAAAAATCTCAGGGATTACATGTTTCCACAGCATATGTCAGGGAATCTTTCCCCCAGGGTCTCTCTGAATTGATTATTCTATACTTCAATCATGGAATCTGAAACAATAGCACCTTTCTTCCAGATGCCATAGGATAACAGACTAGCTCAGGGATATTTATACATGGGTAAATTCACTAAATATAACTTTCCAGAGTGTTTTTCTTAGCTGCCAAAGAAAAGCCTTTAAAACATCAAAAGGTTTATTTGCAATACATTTCGGTGAGAGAAAACAGAATTCACCAGCAACAATTGGTGTCTTCAAAATTTCCAAAATCTTACACTTAATATCTGTTAAAATCATTTTTAAAAATCTGGTATTTGAGATCATATCTTCAAGCATATGTCATCTTTCGTAACACCCTCTGAACTCATAGGAACTACTGAATCATAAACAGAAGGTTATTTGGAAAACTCTTACTTAAGAATTAGATAGGTTGAGTGAACTCCTTGCTCATGAATAATTTTTCACTTCTTCCTCTTAGAGAAATATTTTTTAACAGATATCAGGTAGGTTTTATACTAGATGTTCTGAAATATCACTGTATGTTCAAATATTTAATAACAAATGCACAAAGTGACATATTTAGTTATTCAGATAACTTCTCTGTGACTTCACACACACACACACACACACACACATGCACACACTCACACAAATGCTGACAAATTGAAGGTGCCAGCTACTGGAAAGTAAACTATAAGCAAATTATGAATGAAAATCCTAACTTCTGGAATTCTCACACTGAGATTTGTGGGGTATTTTAAAGACCTGGGTTATACAGAACATATATGTAATTCAGAGTCTTGAGAGTAAAAATTCAAATACTTCTAAGCCTCCAAACTGGAATCATCAGTTAGATATGATGGAGTTGTGTCTACTTATAAAATCAATCTAGAGAATTAAGGCAATTAAATTGAATTTTGAGCCTCCTCAGCCATTTCCTTGCTTATTTTAGGTAAATGTCATTTAGAGGGTTTAACCTTCAGTAAATTGCCCCAATTTGTTTCATTTTGAGTGTATATATACACAGACAGAGCTGAATTCAGTAAGTTCTCAATGCAGGTTCTTTATTTTTCTCTGGTAGCCCTGCAGAGAAAGCAATGGGTAATACTTAGTTGGCAAGAAGGCAAGCAGCATTTAGAGTCTGTTTTTATAAAATTAAAACCTTGTATGGAAGGACCACAGAATGGAGTTGTCTTTTCTAGAGAGTTTATTGATTTAATAACTCACAATTATAAGCATTAAAAGCATCTGATTGAACCAAATATCTAATAAATATTTATGAGTATTGGTCATTATTAGTAATCTATTAACAAATGAAATAACATTAAATAGATAGTAATTTTGTATAAATTTGAAGCAAAATATAGGAATAGGAGCAAAGCTATGGTATGTATTTAGTTTGGCTGATAAGATGCAGCAAAACATTGGCTATTGAGGCTAATTGGTGGTAATAAGAGTTATTGAAAAATAAATAAGGAAGTAATTTATGTAAACCAGAGAACATTTGCATCTAAAAGGTACATATGATAAAGCACATGCAGATGTATGAAATACTGCACACCCATCATACCATCTCTGTTGAGCAATTCCATCAAGTAATGATACTATCATTGATTTATAAGACACACAGATCATTTCAACACAGACTCTTGACACTTGAAGCTCTCATCCAGCTTTCTTATATCTAAATCTTAATATACCATTACTTAAAGCAATTTTTATACAAATTTCCAGGCTCAGTGACAGGTAAGATTCCACCCCCCCCCCAAATCTTTTACTGAAAGTTCCAACACTGTATTGACACCATTCATATATTCATATATTTAAGTTGCATATCCCAGGTAATGTCTAAGTATCAGAATTATTTATTTTTTTTGGAGAGGTTTTTACTATAGCGTGCATGCACTCGCCAGACAGACAGAGAGAGACGGTGAGACAGAAAGTGAGAAATCACTCCCCAGGGGGGAATGGCCACACCACAATCCCTTCTCCTCCATTCTCCTCTCAGGATCTTGGGCATGCACGCCCACGCGCCCGGCGTGAGTTTAAGCCACCGGGTCCGGGACTCAAACCATGGTCGACTACGTGGGAGTCCAGCGACATAGCCATTATGCTAACTGCTGGTCCCCCAGTATCAGAGTTTTTTTAAACCACCATAAAAATTGTGGCCATTATTTCCCTATGCATACGTAATTTTCAGGTTTTTTACAATCAAATTATTTAAATCATAAAATGTCATTTTGGTTGGCTAAGATCCATTTATAGAAAGAGGTGGGGGTATTTTGAGTAAAAGCTTTAAAATTCACTTTGCACTCACAAGACGTGAAAATCTGTTCACTGTTACATTTGTGATTCAGAACAGCATAAAGAAGAAATTAAGCAAACATAACAGGTACATGAAGATGGATGTTTACATCAAGTAAGCAAAGCATCAGTACTGCAGGCGACCTACGCCAGGAAGGCTGTGCAGCAGAGACCACTCGCCTTTGAACTCCCAAGTGTTTTGCTTGGGACTTTGAGATGATCTTGTACCCCTGCCCGCCCCATTCAGACATCTATTCCTACTCAGAAAGACTGAACTGTAAAGAGACTGTTGCTTATTCCCTGCCACACGCCTCTGATTCTAAGACTTCAGTTTTTTCTAAAAAGTGTTGTGCAATCCCTTCTATGTTCCTGAATTAAAGCTCAGCAGCCTAGTCTCAGGCACATCTGTTCTCTAGAAACAGGAAGGACTTTGAATCATCCAAGTCCAGTGACAACCCTGCAGGTTGCTGGTGAACATAAGGGAGGTAGAGCAGCAAGGAGATCGCCATACACCTACTCCCACACACCTTTGAATGCTCAGAAGTAACACAAAGAATTTAGAAAGGAACATATAAATCACCAGGTGACTAGAAACCATCACAGGGGCACGAGACATATGAGCAACAAAATATCAATTTCTCATTATCCACAGACAACACAATGGAACTCATGGAAATGTCAGATAAACAATTCAGAATATTTATAGTGACAAAACTAAATAAGATGCCAGAGAAAAGCATCAACAAGCTACAGGAGATGAGGAAGTCCTTTCACGATTTGAAAGAAAAAATAGGTTCCATTAGAAAAAATCAAATGGAATTGTTAGAGATGAAGACTGTGATAAGTAAATTAAAACCTCTCTCAAAAGTATTAAAATCAGATTATATCAAGAAGATTGTATCTCAAGTGTGGAAGACAAAACCTCTGCTCTAGATAAAAAAAAAAAAAAAAACTGTTAAGAAGACTGAAAAAATAACCAAGAAAAATGAGTGCAATATACGAGAAATACTAGATACCATTAAGAACCCAACATCCAGATAATTGGTATTACAGAAGGTGAAGAAAATAATAAGCACATTGATAATCTATTCCATAAAATCCTGGAAGAAATCTTTCCAAATCTACAGAGGCATTAAAATATCCAGACCCAAGAAATATAAAGGACTCCAAATGGAATCAAACCAAAAAGATCTTCTCCAAGGCACATCACAGCCAGATTGGCCAAAACCACAGACAAAGACAATATTAAAAAATGGCAAGTGAGAAATTTCAAGTTACTTACAAAGGTTATCCCATCAGGCTAACATCAAAACTCTCATCAGAAACAATGCAGGCAAGGAAAGAATGGAGAAATGTAATCAAAACGTTAAATAAAAAATAATTTCAACCAAGATTACTATACCCGGCAAGATTATCCTTCACATGGGAAAAACACATAAAAACATTCTCAGATAAACAAAACCTAGAAGAATTTACTAACTCTAGACTAAGTCTTCAAGAAGTTCTGAAGGAAGTGCTATATCCAGAAAACTAATGTTAGAACAAAAAAAAAGTGGAAGGACATCCCATGTTCCTGGGTTGGAAGAATTAATATAATCAAAATGGCAATTCTACCCAAATTAATCTACATATTTAA